TGAACTAGCTTAGATTCACCTCTGAAAAAAAAATGTTTTCCATATACTTCGTAGAAAGATTATTCCTCACCCTAATTTGAGCATTGATTCCATTCACATACACAGACACAACAGAAAAGATAAGCCCTTCTGATACCGCATGTATGCCAAAAAAGAGATCAGCTCCAATTTTCAAGTCTTCCTTGTAGTTTGCCTCCTACAAAATATGGGAAAGTACAGTTGACCTGAAACTATTTTAGTTTCATATCAGAACCATCCATAGAAGAAACGCGCCTCGCTGGTGGTCACTAAAACTACTGTTCTGTATGTTAGGGTGCAACATACAGAACAGAACGAGATTGTGCTCATCAGCATTAAGAGTCAAGGCAGGCATCTTGCTTAAGGTGTCCTTCTGGGCCTTCTTTACAGTTAATGGCAGCACATCTTGAGTGGAGTCTTCACACTGTAACATCTATTAAAGACAGAAGAATTCCTCAGGAATATCACTTTCTTCAGTTACAATAGAGGAAATTAAGTCTCAGCTGAGAGAGCAAATCCTCATTCCTTAAGCTGTTAGACCTGCAGGTGGTGGATGCTGTCCATGACATCTTTCACCCCATGAAAGCGTGGGATGGGACCGTACAAGGTTGTTAACATAGATAGAATGGCTGAATCTACATTACTGTTTTAATTCACAGGGGGGCAATGCTTTTTCTCCAAATCAGCTCTACTTACTGTGCTGTGATCACACTGCAGTCTGAGGATGTGCAAAATGGGTACCTTTCTGATGACGTTAAATGGAGGATTGCTGCACTCTCATAGAGCACCTCAACTACAATTTACAGCTAGTCCAAAATAACCCCCCAGAGATGCACACAGTGTGAATGCCAGGTCCTCAGCACCAACTGTTTTGCTCTACAGATCCATTCCTACTAGGCTGCACTATTTGCCAACATGCACAAAGACAGATGATTCAAATCAACTCTGCTTCAGACTTGCCTGTGAAAAATATAATGCAAATGCAAGGGAGATTTTGAACTGATGGAAGAAAATAATAGGACTGTGGAATGGAGACAGCATGGAATTAAGGTTGTTCAGGCTGCAGCAGAGTAAAATGAAGGCCCTGTTGGTCTCAGATGTTCTCAGTTTTCTTTTACTGGTCCTATCCCAAAGGCTGCCACCCCCTCATTTAACATAACTTGAAAGAGTACTTGTTCCCTGGCTGTGCTTTTTTCACAGAAGGCTGGGTTGGCTTAAAAATTTTAATGGTGAGGTCTGAAAATTCACCACCCATCAACATAAAAATTCTTCAGTTAACAATCTCAACCCTCAACACCACGTAACATTAGCCAGAAAGTACATAAGTTCTTTAAGAGCTGTATATTTATTTACCTGCTGGGTTTTGTGTTGCGATTCATGCTGTCAGGCTTCTGGACAACAACAATCCTGAGAAAATACCTGAGAAAATACTGTTTTCTCCAGTGAAGCCTGAGGTTTTCAACAGTCGCTTGGTCCAGCAGCCAAAGGTTAAGCAAGCTTTATTATGTATATTTAAGCAGTTTTATTGTGCCTTAATAGGCAAATCCCAAAATACAACAGTTTGGCCTTTCTCTGAATTAAATCCACTTGCCTCAGTCCTGTTAACCTGTCACTGGTGGAATTTCTGTGAGTATTATGAAGAATCTGAAGGAAAAAAAATGTGTTCAGTAGGTTCTGTGGGAATACCGGTATTCCAGGCCATTCTGTAAGAGTGGGCCTGAACTGTTCAGCCTCTGAATCCAAAGCCTAAGGCACTTCTTTTTGTATTCTGTAACTTTTTTGTTGTTGTTTTTTTTCCTACTCAGTGCAGTAGTCTCACTATTCCTGATTTTCTATTAAGAATTGTGGATCAAAGCTGATTAGTTGTTTGGGTATTAATATTTAAAAAGACAGTCTGGTTCTAATAATCATTAAGAAGGGACAAAGGAATACAGCAATTATTTTTGGTATTTTTAAGTTATGCCATTGTTGCATTTGAAACATTTCAGCAAAACTGATCTTATAATAGGAATGGTGTTCATACATGGACTGTTAAAATTCTGCTAAACAACTGTGCTGTGTCTTAAATGACAAGACATCTTATCTGGCACATGCCAAAGGCATGCTGTAGATTTTTCCAACGGCTCTGATTCATCTCCTTGAATTCATTTTTTCCTAGAGATACAATATGGACAATTGGTTAATTAGTAACTGTTCTTATAGTCATTACCATGAAGAGATCATTCTCCTAGAACCCTTAGCACGACTGTAGAGCCAAACAAGACTGATCAATGCCAGAATTAACAAACCTTTCTATATCCATATGCCATATACACTACAATTCATCTGCAGTCTAATCACTAATTAAAAGTTTTGAATCAACTGCATGGAGACAAGACTCAAGTGGTTCTGTGCAGGCCTGTATTCCTTCATTCCTGACCATTACACAGAAGCTCAGATCATAAGAAGCTCACACACACACACACACAGTGCACAGTCATCCAGACAAGCAGAAATCATTTAAAGATGGGATAAGTGCTCAGAGAAGGGAAGGTAAGCTATACTGTTCGTACAGTGCAAAATAGACAGGATAGAGCTGAAGATATCCTCAAGCCCTTCGTGGTTCTTTGCCAAGTGAATGATTACTTTGAGCAACTTCCCTTAGCAATTTATTATTTGCCTTTAAAATTCTTACACTGAACTTCTGTGAAATTACTTCAATTCACTACAATGTTCTTAACAGTTGATTCCCTACAGGTTAAGTCCTGTGTTCTGAGGCACAGAAATTCTGTCTGTACCAGTAAGAGGAAACCTTCACAAAAGTGGTTGGGAGTTTTTCCAACATTGTAAGCGGAGTAGGAGGAGGGGCAGCTCTTAGGTTCCCACTGAGGAAAATGTTCATCCCTGATGTTGCCTTCCTATCAAAATAAATACAAATATTAAAATGTTCTCCAAAGGCAACCAGTTATATTAACAGTGCTTTATATAGAGGAAGCTGGAGCACAGAAAGGTAACTGCTTTCCTAAAATCCAACAGGAATTTGGTGGAAGAGCTGCAAACAGAACCTCCCTTTGCAGACTCCCACTCCAGTGCCCTATCCACAGAAGCGTGCTGCCTCCCAGCGCTTTCTAGATATGCCAGGCATCTGCACAGCTGTATTTTTAGTCCTGATATTCTCTCTGTCTGGAACTGGACCATGAAGACTCACAATAAGCCAAAGACTGTAAATATCCCTTCAACTTTATAGGAGGAAAACTGGCATCATTTCAAAGCAGAACAAGCACTGTCTTCAATTTCAGTTTTGCTAACTGCTGTCATACTTAAAATTTCCCTAAAAACAACCAAAGAACCAACCAGCTGCAGTGTGTTGTAAACAAGAAAAATTAGAAGGAGGAGTTCCTGCAGGACACAGAATCAATTTTTCTTGACTGTAAATCACAGAGGTTTCGGGGCTCTTTCAGACTTAATGACTTATCTGGTCATTAAGTCATAAACAAAAATCTTTCCATCTCCTAGTAGTACTGTACACACTGGTTTTCTCCCAGCCCACTTTGCTGCAGAAGACGACCAAATATTCCCATTTACTTGAGATGCCCAAGCCTTTCTCAAAACTACATTACCACTAAAATATTAAGGCTCCGTTGTTGGATCAAAATTCTTTTCAAAATTCATAACCTATTTTTGTCCTATCTTGACGAGTGTCTTTTGAGTTTTCTCGATCCATAGCAAACATGCTTATTTTCAGGTGACACGATCTTCGAGGCCCATCCCAACCCAAGCTACTCCATGATTCTATAATTCTATGACATAATATTCTATGAAGCTGAGGTCTCACGGGAAGCTGGAAAGATGTAATGTAGAGACAAAGTAGCAGGTATATACACACTGTTTTGTGTGATAACAGGACAGTCCTCGAAATTATGAGCATTAGTTTCCTCTGGCAAACACATCCACTAAACAAGGACTCCTGAGGAAAAAAAAAGGTGAGTAGAAAGTACAGAGTTCTGCTACTTTGTCAGGAAAATAATATCTTGAGTGACTTCTGAGTGAAGAGTCAGGGAGACTCAGAATGGGGCACTGTCTTTGGTGGGACATAGTATGGGTTCTGCAGGCAGACTTTTGCAATAAAGATTTTGACTGTTTTTCTAGAAACATATCACAAAGTTGCCAAATTCAGCAGCTCTTTTGCTTGTAAACTAATGACTGTTTCTCCCATGAATGCGTTGTTCTGAGTGGAAGAATTTTTCCCAGCAAGTAAGTGCTCCAAATTAGTTTTTCTGAGACACTGAATCTGTGTGATTAACATTCACTTTGCAGAGGAGAAGAGCTTGGATAGCTTTTACATTCATTCTGCTTCTCTCCTCACTCCAGACACTGTGCCTTCCGCTCAACAGTCATTCCCCTGGATACCATTCCTTTCTGATTAACACAGGGGAATTTCTCCAAGCCATGCCTTGCAGGCAGTGTATTTCCCATGAAATATTCCCATATTACTTGCAGCCAAGGGAAATTTAAACATTAAACTTACCAGTAGGGAGAACTAAAATGGATGTTGCCTTCACTGCATTACTTTCTAAATCTTGTCGCCAGATGATAAGGGGTCACTAACTAACAGGTAATTTGTTTATTATGGAAAGAACAGCGTGGTGATTAATATGAAAAGCTCCAGCCAGTGTAAAAACTCTGAAAAAGCTCCAGAAAGATCACATGAAAAATGCTAAAACTCTGAGATGCGGGGTCTCTATGGGCCTTAACCAGGATGGCGTGTAAAAATGCTGCCAGTGCTGAGAAAAATTTTTGCTGCATCACGTCATTAATAGTTAATGCCAGTGCACTTTGCTGCTACAGCCAGAGCAGGGTAATTAAACTGTTACTTTAATGTGGAGAATATGCTTTCCTTTTCCTCCCACTGTTAACACAACGGGCAGGGAGGACAATGTTACACCATAGGGTGTTTTTGGACCGCCGATTGTTAACAGCAGCGTTTTCTTTCTTTCTTGCAGAATGAAGTGGCAGTGCTTCTCAAGCCAATATCAGAGAAGATTCAGGAAATACAGAACTTCAGAGAAAGAAACAGAGGAAGTCAAATGTTCAACCATCTCTCAGCCGTCAGTGAAAGCATTCCTGCGCTTGGCTGGATCGCAGTGGTAAGTCACACATAGGCCAGCTGGGAGAGCTGCCAATCCACTGGATGTGGCCCAGAGAAAGGTCCAAATCTTGCAGAACTTTGTAGTTCTCTACTACATCCAAGAAGCTGCTTTATATTATACCTAATATATCAGGGAAGGTGTCTGACTAATGTTTTACCTCCTTTCTCCTTTTGTTGTTTCCTGCTACCGTGGGTTGATGGTCCTAGTCTCCTAAACCAGGCCCTTATGTCAAGGAGATGAATGATGCTGCCACCTTTTATACTAACAGGGTATTAAAGGACTACAAGCACAGGTATGTTGCAAAGCCCCAGTATCTACTAACCACCATGAGAGAAGAGAGCATTAACCACACTAACAATCCCATCACACACACACAAAAAAAAACATTTTGTAAACAAAAAAGCATTTGCTAAAATCTGATCACAGCAGCTTGTTTTCCCCTCCTCATCTTAGACCAGCAATGCTGGCTTTTGTTCTCTGCAAGTTAATATGATTAATTTTCTGGAGTGCCAGAATGTTGGCCAATAGCTGCTATGTGTCCCTGTCTCACTTGTGCACTCAAACTGTTGCTGTTTTTAGTCTCCGCTTGGAAATGCGTGTTTACATGCTTGGTGTGTACAGTTGAGCATCTACTCTCATAGCTTTCAAAGTGATTTTTTTCTGCATTACTGCATTGTTCTTAAAGAGCACAGGGAATTCACAGAACAGTTCCACGAATAAGATCAAAAAAGTGAATAAGCGTAGGTCCTTTCCATGCACTCTTAACAAACGTCATGTATAAATCCTGTTTGTTTGGTACTTTTGGAGGCCAGATTTTGACTTTTTATTTTTATACCCTCAGTGAAAAATAGTGTTTGCAGTCGAGTTTCTTCTCTTTAGCAAGGAAAACTTTATATACTTATGTATTTAAATACGTAATTTTATGTATAGATTTCAGTTTCTTCTATATGTACTATGTGTGTGAAATATATATTATATATTATTATTTTTGAAGCCTTAGTTGACCTGCTCGAGGTAACTGAACGTTTTTACAAAGTAGTTTTGGAGGTACTTATCCTAAAGCAAAATAAAATCTCACATTAAGGTATAAGGAGGGTGCAATAGCTAGGCATAAAGTTAGCTCTTCTCTTAAAAAGGAATTCTTCCTATGTTTTTAACTGAATATTTGACCAGATCACAATGTCTTCCAAAGCAGTGGAAAGCTGTCTCTTGACTTCCCTAGGCCTTGGATTAAACCCACTGTCCCAGATCCTCAGCTGTATTAAACACCAAGCTCCCAAGGAAATAAACAGGGGTAGGTACCCAAGCACTTGTGAGCATCCACTCCATGGCAGTCACTGTTCAGTAATTACTCTGACGTGGAGCTCCCTAAGTAAGGACCACATCTTACAAGCAGTTTCTCTATCTGTATGTACTTCTTGTTCACACTTAATCTACCAGTGGAAGACTTAAGCCTTCCAAATAATGATTCCAGAGCCAACTTTTAATTTGTATAAAAACTCTTGATGTATCAGTTTTTCAGTCAGATGCCTATTACACGAGCTAGTATTACACTGGCTACATATGAACTTGGGAGCTAGAGCACTGTAGGTAACCCACAAATAGTTCATTTTCTCAAATTCAGAACCTCGAGGTTGAGTCCAGGAAGCTGCTACCAAGTTCCTTCAGTGCTTCTTCAGTTGACTGTGAGTTTGAACAGGAGGAGGTAACACGTAACACCCTACCAGCAGGCTGTGCTAGAGGCACCTTTGCCCGTCTTTGTCCTCTGGAAGGGCCTGAAAACTTTGCAGTGTAACAGGCCTGAGTATCTTCAGCACTGTGCTGACTTGCTGCCTGCTGACTGGCTTGTTCATGGCTGCAGGCTTTATTTGCTTTAAGCATGAATAGCAGCATTTTCTGATTTGAAGTACAAACACAGATATAAATATTGTTTCTGTTTTTTACAGTGATACACGTCATGTTGATTGGGTGAAGTCCTACTTGAACATCTGGTCTGATCTTCAAGCATATATCAAAGAACATCATACTACAGGTCTCACCTGGAGTAAAACTGTAAGCACCCTTTACTGTTTCACAAAAAAAAAAAAAAAAAAACCCCACATAAAATATAAGCAACCAATCTGACTTCTAATGTAGGTCATTAACTTAGAAAAATACACATCCAGGTGAGAAACAGAACTCATGGCCAATGAACTTCCTAGCCAAAATGATAGAAGCCTGAAAAACAGGCAAAGTTGATCTATCAGGCCACTGTGGTACAGTTTTTGAGAAAAACAGATTTGTTTGGGATGGTTACAACTATAATTCCCAGTTGCAGATAGCGAGGAAAGGCAGGCACAGTTCTCCAGGCCAGATACAGTGGAACACAGGAAAAAGAAACACAGGGAATTCATGCCAAGTTCTTAGTCCACAGATAGTCAACTGTATAAAATTAGTATTTTATACATACAGAGATAACTTCTGAAATGTATATACTTCATATATATATTCAGAGAGATAGCATATATAACTGTGCTATTTATGCTCTCTGTATCAGCATCTTCTGGGTGATACATCTGAAACGCGTAACAAGATGATCACAATGAATATTGTTCTCTAAAAGAAGTAAAGAACAGTAGGAATGAATTTTCTGTTAGACATAAAGGTGAGAGTTTATGTCAACAGTCTGCATTCATGCAATGTTCTACATAAGATTGGAATAATGTACTCCCATTTCTTACCAAGTTACAAGATTTGCTGTCATAATTTTCTAAACTTACCAGTGCACACACATACTTGCACATACAGTCATTCATACCAAGACTATCACTTCTGTACAGGCAAACATTTTTATTTTCAATTGAAAGATTGTTAAGAGGGCTGACATAGACCATCAGATAACTTAATTCTCAGACCCAAATCACGGTGACAACACAAGGAAGTGAAACAGATCTTTATGATAGAATGTATATTAACATGGTATCTGGAAAAGTTTCTTCATCTCCCACGTATGGAGGAGATAATCATATGAAAGAATGTAGAACATACACTACTTGTTCTCAGCTACAGACACTGTACAAGTCCTTACAGTATTCAAATGCAAGCTCAAATACAGGAGACACTAAGATCTGTGTGTACTTTTTAGTTTGAAGCAATGCAAAAATACTTAAACCTGATCAATTGAAAGACTGGAATTATCTGCTGCTTTGTAGGTTTCTATTGTAAAAATCCGAAATATTAAATATGATGCTCTTTCTTAATTCAGCACAAAGTTTCATATATGCTACATCTGACTCTATTGTAATCAGTGAGTGTGAGAAGAGCTGATGATTTTTAAGTGATTGTTAGGAAAGTGTAAGAAATTATAGCATCCTGCTAGCAAAATTAACCTAAAATCTGGAACAAGTTTAGTTCTGTTAATAAAGAAAGATACATGTATCAGTGCATCTTTAATTAAATAGAATTTTACAAGAACAGAAGTAGTGCTATAGAGATTTGTTATATTTGTTATACAACGTAGCAGGAAGCCTCAGTGCTGTGAGTACTGGTAATCTTACAGAGAGTGTGGCTATTGCAGATTGTATTTGACTGGTTTTAAATGCATCTCAGCCATCACAGCTCTATATTTTCCTTTCTTTAGATGTGCAGCAAATTGCTGAAGCCAAATCTAGGTGTGACTTGTTTGTTCGTATTAATCATAGTTTACTGTGCTTATTATATCTTGAGTGATGAGTCCACTAGCACATCTAAAGCCTTGCTTTCACTCCATTCGGATATCACTTTCATTTGAAAGAAGATGTCTTGGAGGTATGGATCATATGAACTATCATTCATTTAGTGTATGCCAGAAAGATTAAGTTAAAGGTTATACGTCTACAGGAAAAGGGTTGGTAAATTTTTACTTCATGTGAGTGTAAGGACATTGGAATCCAGTAAGTTAGCAGGTTGTTTAAGTACCTTGTTGTGTAGATGTTGTTTAAATAGTTTTATGAAGATTGGTAACAAATACATCCATGAAAGCAATGAATTACTAAAATGATACTGTGATTTTTTAATGCATTTTAAGGTGAGAATGAAAGTGACGGATTCATGCTGCGTGAAGCTAAGCACAAAGGTCTGCAGAATCAGGGCCTGGACAGAAAGGGAGGATATAAGAAAGAAGCAGATGGACTCTTTGGCAGGGTTTGCTGTGATAGAACAAGGGGAAATGGTTTCAAACTAAAAGAGGTGAGATTTAAATTGGATATAAGGAAAAGTGCTTTCTAAAGATAAGGTTGCCCAGAGATGTGGTGGATGCCCCGTCCCTGGACACGTGCAGTGTGAGGCTGGAGCACACTTCGAGCACTGATCTCACTTGTAGGTGTCTCTGTTCCTTGCAGGGTAGTTGGACTAGGTGACCTTTAAAGGTCCCTTGCACCCAAATGATTCTATGATTCTATGAAATGCAATATTTAAAAGTTGTAGAAATATTCCAGACAGTTGCCTATCTCGGCACACAGCAGCTTCCACTTATATGCATAACAGGAAAAAACAGTGTGGCAAGGCATTAAGAAGGTGTTACATTTATGAAAGGGAGACGTTGATACAGAAAAGCTATTCTGCTTTAGGGAGAGAAAGAAAGCAAGTCTTTGACCAGTGTAAGTACACAGTTTTAAGTATGCTATAGCAATAATTTAGCCTTTAGCTGCAGAAGTCAACAAAGCAATGCGAGAAACGTTAATAGAGAAAGCTGTTAAGTGAGATATTTGGGCATTTCTAAAGAAACTCAATATTCAGGGAGAACATTCACTACTGCATTTCTTAGAGCTGTATTATTATAGTTTGGACTACAGCAAAACACCAATAGCATCAGCCCAGATCAGGCTAAGCTTGTGCTTCCAAAAAGGACGGGGCAGTTTTTTTAATGGGCAGTTGGCCTCTTTATCTATAGATGCAGCATGGTGTGGTACACACATTTCTGGCTGTGCTCCAAGGCAGTATCACAAAGCTGTGCAATTTCCAGCCCCCATGTACCCATCCATCAAGCTGCACAGGGCAGCTGCAGCCAACTTGGTAACAAATCATCGGTACATACAGAAGAGTTCTTGGCTCTGGCAGCAGCACACAGGCAGATACTTTAGAGAAAAGTGTCAGAAATGTCTTAATAAATTACAGGACATGCACTAAAACTAAAACACATAAATGTATCCTGTGGTACCAGTTCAATATACTCTCGATATACCAGTTAAGGCATCTTGATAATTGGAACAATAGTAATTACCCACCTAATAGAGATAAGCAAGCATTAATTTGCTGCCATATATGAAATTCTGAAGTGTCAGTGAGTTCTATGCAAAAAATGAAATGCTGTAAATGTCCGCTGCAGCATTTTACCCATGCAGCAACTGTCATGTTTGCTTGCTACAGCTTTCTGACTTAAACATGAAATGTACAGCTGTAACAGTAACCTACGTCCTTTTTGCAGTCTTTACTGAAAATAGCAAGTGTCCTTTTCCTTCCCCCCACCTCCTAAAGAAGGGATTCTATTGAAGCACAGCTCCTTCTTTCCTCCCTGCTTGCTTTATTTTTTCTTTCTCTTGGTGGTGTAAAGAAATGAACAGCTGTAATATAAGCTCACAAGAATGCCTCATAAAAGTTTGTTTGCTACAAGGACTGCATGAGTAAGCTGGGGGAAGTGAAACTTCTGCTCCTATTACTGCAGGTTAACTCTGCAGCAAGAAAACAACTGGCCATAATGAGAGGTTGCTGTAGTTTCCTGTACATCAAATAAGCGTTAGGAAACAGATCTTGCTCAAGGATAATTGTCCTAAACGTTCCTCTAACTTGCAGATAGAGCTGCAGTAAGTTTTTGCTGTTTGTACACAGTTGTCATTTAGGACAAATTTTGACAGCAGGTTTTGAAGAGGCATTCACAAAATAGGGGTGAATTTCTTTACAGTGTTTGGTTGAACACAAAATGACACTCAAGTAATGAATGCTCTCCCACCCCCATTTACAAATCAAAACAAATTGCTAGCAGGAAGCCTGCATCTGCATAGCAGTTGCTGTAGTTGAATCAGTTGAGATTTATTTATATCTATTCCCACTGAATCATAGAATGGCTTGGGTTGAAAGGGACCTCCTGAAGTCTTTTTTCCTTTCATTAATATACATATGTATATGGCCATATACTATTCTAAAAACATTCTTTAAAAGTTGAAATTCCCCACAGGTTCTACAAATGGCCATCAAGCTCCCTACATCAGCCTGAGTGCAATTACACTGGCCTCAGTGCAACCTTTGGCCATTTCATGCTCACCCAGAATAATCACCTGCAGACATTTTCCTATTAAAAGGCTCTGCCTGTCTCCTGTACTATCAAAATACTTTCTTGCAACGTATCAACTCTCTAAATACCAATGTGAACAAGTTGAAAAAGCCCAAATCCTGCAGGCGAAAGCCTTCTATTATCATTACAGTATCTCTTCTGTGCTGTTTGGTTTGACTCACTTATCAAGAAGCCATCGTCTGAGCCACTTCACTGAAGCTAAAGGTCAAAACTGTAGTGCCAAATTCCATCCAAAGCCGCAACTGCAATCCCAGAGGCTTCATTCTGACAGAACTAATGGCAGCACGGATAGGCTGATTTAAATGTCTGTACCTTGGATAAGACACACACTTTGTCAGAGTGCTCAGTTTTTCCTGTCATAGCTTTTCTTTGCCTCTTCTGCCTCTTTCTCTTCCCTTTTATTCCCTTTTCTTCTTCCTCTTCCTCACCCTCTCCTCCTTTCCTTATATTTTATGTTAAAAATTTGTTCCCTTTAGCTGTTTGTTTCTCAGAGAATACACAACATACATGTTTTGATATATGATTAATTTAGAAACTGGCCACCAGAAAGATACAAAAAAATCCCTTTTCTTAAGGCAATGTCTTATTTGGAAACTGCCCTAAAAGTTGCCCATCATTTTAGAAACATCCTAGCAACTCTACAATTAGTTGCTTCTGTTGGCATTTGCCATTATGACATTGAAGTGCCTTTGAAAAAAGTGGTTTTACTCCCTTATTTAAAAAATGGCTGAAAATGCATGTCTCT